TTCACAGGTCATTGGCCACCGGTCCACGAGGGCAGGGGGAGCAGAAGCGGTGAACGGAGTCAGGATGGCCAGTGAGCACTGACGGAAGAAAGCCCTTCCAGGGAGGCTGGTTTCACGGCGCAGTGAAACAAAAACAGCTCTAGATGCAGTGATTCAGCTCCAGACTCAGTGAAACAGCTCCGTTTATTCAGTGGGAGAGCTAGAGAAATTATAGTGTGGGGGCAGTAGCCAAAGCCTCAGCTGATAGGTGCTCATAGTATGCTTTATTTACATGTGGCAGTGGGCTCCTATCGTCCGACTATCAGGCAATGCCTGATTATCATATAGAAAAAACCTGGGGGTAGTTTTTACTCCAGGTAACTATGCCAAAGGTCATGTTCCAAATAAGGTCAGGCATCCGTCTGCTTGGTGGCACTTTCCAGGTAAGCCAGGAAGAGAGCAGGAGGCTCCCTGCTGAAAAGGGGAGTCCTTCCGCTTGGCGCCGAGCCCCTTAGGGCTATCCGCACACGGAGAACTACAACCCTAACAGCAGGGTTTCCCAACACCTTTGATTGTTTAAGACCATACAGTTGGCCCAAATAAATCAATTTATTTTTACGCTTAAGGTCATTTGAGGATCTGTTTCTCAGGGGTCACATGGGCTTGGCAGGAGCTCGTGGCTCCTTTCTTTTACCCGTTCCATCTATGTGAAGATACGTCAAAGGTCCTGCTCGACCATCTCACAAGAACTTTAGTAGGCAGAACGATGGCCGCCTAACACTGTCCACACTCTGCTTTCCAGAGCACGTACATACAGGGGCACTAAAATGAATCATAAATGATGTGTTTGAAGTATAACAAATACATTTAAGTGTTTAAAATGTACTAGTCTTAAACAAATCAGTTATTGTACAATATATATTTTCGCTGCATTTTTGTACATTACATAGAATACATCTTAAATCTTATTAAATCTCCTTCCCCTTTCTCCACACTCTCATAGCCTCCCCCGTCAGGTTTCATGCATTCTGTCATAAGGCTAAGGCCTATTGAGTCGTAGTATCTATCAGAGGATACTCTGCAAGTTGCTAAGTGAGAAAAATCAGTCAATGTCCAACACCAGCTGTAAAGCCCAATAACCACAAGTGGACCAACACAGCAAACTATCTCTATCGTGCAGTAATGGCACTTTTATCTTGGGGGGTAATCAACAACTATCTAATTGGACTCAAAACCTGCTCAGTGGGAGGGAACCTAATCATTTTCACGTGTGTTTACCCATGTAACCAGCACACAGATCAAGAGAGAGACATTTTAAGATGTAGAATGGGGAGAAACAGGAGACTGAGGGACAAAATATACTCAATTTTGAAACTTACTGTTAAGCTATAATAATCGAGACAATGTGGTATTGTCTAAGCATAGACAAATAGATCAAAACAAAATAGCCGAGAAACAAACTCTAATATATCCTGATTTTTGGAAAAAAAGGAACAAACTCTTATTTATTGAAAATAGATGCTGAACATCCAAATGCAAAAAATAAAACTAGACACCGGAATGAACACATATATGTATATACACACACACATATCGTTGAGCGTAACAACTGAAGAAAAATCTAGGTGATCTCGGGCTTTGGCCATAAAAATAAAAGGGAAGGCCAGTGAGATGGCTGAGATGGCTCTGCGGGGGAACGTGATTTCAGCAACACCTCGGAACCTAACCGGCGGGTACGGGGGACCCGGGGGACACGGGAGCAGGGGACCGGGGGCGGGGGACGCAACCCGGGAGCGTCCGGCAGGTGACTGACTGAGCCACAGTCGAGTGCGCGTGCCAGGCCCCGTCCCGTGCGTCGGCCGAGGCGGAAGAGCCGAGCGGAGGCCCCGCCTGACCCGCGAGACAGGTCGAAGCCGGTACCGGAGCGGAGGCGCGTGGAGCCGGCAGGAGCGCGGGAGCCATGGTCCTCAACGGTCGAGCCCGAGGGAGCAGCACAGCAGCCGAGAAGCAACCGCCGCCCCCGCGGAGACGCCGCAGCACCGCGGAGTCAGGTACAGAACCGCCTCGCCGACCTCCGCCTCCCGGGCCCGGCCCCTCCGCGCACCCCTCGGCTCCCTGGTTCCCCGCAACCCCCATCCCGTCTCCCGACCTCCCTGGTCCCCCGGTCCCTCGCCCTCGGGTGGTCCGGTCGCACCTTGCCCAGGATCTTCACAGATCCAATGTGTTCTCTTTGGGGGAATGATCAAAGTGGGTTAGCATTTGGGGGAAGGAAGCAGCCCTGGCTTTTGGGAATCGTGTTGGTCTCCAAACCTTTCAAGGGAACCCTAAACCTTGGGCCCCTGTGTGGATAGGGCTGTAGGAGATGGGAAGGTGGCTGTATGCTGTTGCTGGGCTCCCTGAAGGGATGCGGGTCACCACAACCTTAACCCTTTTTCCTTACTCTGGTTCTTATTTTACGAAAGGCCCCACAAGACAAACCGCCTGGCCTCCCACAGAGCTGTGAGCGATATCCCTCTCTGCTTTGACCTTGGAGATTTCAGGATGGAGGGCCTGGGGTGGGGGAGGTGTAGCACAGGCCTCAGAACCAGCTTAGCTTAGCCCAGTGCGCCTTGAGAGTTCCACTCAGTTCCTGCCCCAGTTTGCCAGAATGCCGGTTGGACCCCCCCCACCACCCACCAGGCCCCACTCCAGCCTGGTGCTGAGGGCACTGCAGAAGGGAGAGGCCGTGCATAGTTGGCAGTGCCCACAGGGGGACCAGGAAGGGAGCTGTGGTCCAGCCTGGGTGTTTAGGTTCTTCCTCTGCTCTGATGATGCTGACCTTACTGAGGGTGGGTATGGGAAGTGGCTATAGGTCCTGCCCTTCCAGGAAGCTGGGTGCTGCATGTGCTGGAAGCTTAGCAGACTCTCCTATGGTCCTCACAACAGCCTTGAGTGGCTGCCATCTTCCTAATTGCTCAGAGGGGGTCACTGAGAAGCTGGTCAGTGCTTCTTTATGATCCCTGAGTGGCACAGGATGGGCATCGGAGGATGGATGGACCCAGTGTCCCCTTGCAGCCCGGATACCATCTCTGCAGGTTGCAACCTCAGTCATGGCAGTTTTTTAAGCCCCCAGGCCAGTCTGACTAGAATGCATTTGCTGGTTTCCTGTGTGGGCTTTAACCCTCTGGGTTTTCCTTCAGCTTTGGAGGTTCTGATATTATTTCTGGAAGGGAACTGAGTGACAGCTGTGAAGGCACCTTTGGAGGAGGCAGACTGGGGGGCAGAGCTGCCCAGAAACACCACCATAGGTTCGTGCGTGCACGCTCCCGGCAGGAGAAGGCCAGCCGGCCCCGGCTCACTATCCTGAATATAACTGGGGTGTGGGTGTGTGGGCATGATGTCCTCTGCAATCTGACCATGACTTCCTGCAGGTATGCAACACGGGACAAGATGGTGGAGTGCCAGCCGGAAACGCATAACCACAAGATGGTGACCTTCAAGTTTGACTTGGATGGGGACGCTCCTGATGAGATCGCCACATACATGGTGAGGGTGGTGGGGCCGCCTCCTGAGGACCTCAGGCGTGTGTAGGAGTGAGCCCCTTAACCTTAGCCCTTCATGGAAGTATTGGGTGGCCCGTGGCTCAGGCATAGAGCCTAGGTAGGGGCTAGGCCCCGAGCTGTGGGTCCACAGGAAGAACATCAATGCCCTGCTTCTGAGCTCTGTAGGTTTTTACTCAGGCACCTCTGTGAGGACAGCTTGAGGAATGTGTTCATTACACCTCCTCCTGTCTCTTAGAGGAAAAGGCAAAACCTGAGATGACCTGGAGGAGCAAAGGGAAGCTGCATCACCAGCCTCTCGTGCCCTGTGTCCCTGCGTAGAACTTCTGTCACCCTCCTCGACTTCCAGAAGGGCCATTTGAAGCCCACGCTCCAACCATCAACCTCAGCTCTGCCTCCACCTGGAGCCACCCTTACCTGCTGGAGCAGAGCTCACTGTGGGCACCTGCTCACTCATGGGTTTTTCTGTGTCCCAGGTCAGTGCTGCCAAGGAATCCTGCTGTGTCCCCAGCATGTGGCCCTGCCAGAAGTGGGGGACCAAACACAGACGTAGTACAGATGCTCATGTTTGAGTCAGGCAGGAGGGGCAGGAGTAGAAGGCTTCCATGCACACAGGGCTTCCCTCCTGCCCACCACTCTCCCCACGGGTGGCCATGTCCCGCCCCCTCGACCTCTGCTCTTCCAGGAACTTCCTCCCATGCCCCACCACCTACTTATTCCTGCCCCACTCAACACACGCTTCCCTTTCTCCTCAGTGTCCTCAGGGAAGTCTGTCTCCTCTGTGCCGGACAGCTTTAGTGTCAACTGGACACGCCTCGGTTGAGGGAGCCTCAATTGGGGAATTGCCTCCATTGGACTGCCCTATGGCCACTTCTGTGGGGAACCTTCTTGATGGTTGAGTGATGTGGGAGGGCCCAGCCCACTGTGGGTGGTGCCATCTCTGGGCATGTGGGCCCATGTTGTATAAGAAAGCAGGCTGAGCAGGGGCCAGGGGAGCAAGCCAGTAAGCGTGCTGGGAGACTGGTCCTCTTAAGGATGTGCACGTCTCAAATTTCAAATCCCCAAATCGGTTCCGTCAGCATTTTGAACATGGAGGAAATAAGAGGCAGAAGCACATCTGGTGGCCCCGCCTACTGGGGTTCCTGTGGGACTCCAACTTCCTTTTACTGTAGCCGCTTACCTTGGGGTCATGCTGCGTTCCCTTGGGGTGAGGAGGCAACAGCAAAATGTTCTAAAGACCTGAAGGAAACAAGGAAACGCCTCCTCACCCCCTTCCACACTCTTCTCCGTCTAGATGTGGAGACTATGGTGGCGGGGGAGGGGGGGTGCTGGGCCCTGCTGTTTTCATCAGGTGATGGCTCCTCAAGGACCAGGGCCCTGCTGTTTTTGTCACGTGATGGCTCCTCAAGGACCAGGGCCCTGCTGTTTTTGTCACGTGATGGCTCTTCAAGGACCAGGGCACTGCTGTTTTTGTCATGTGATGGCTCCTCAAGGACCAGGGCCCTGCTGTTTTTGTTATGTGATGGCTCCTCAAGGACCAGGGCCCTGCTGTTTTTGTTATGTGATGGCTCCTCAAGGACCAGGGCCCTGCTGTTTTCCTCAGGCAATGGCTGCTCAAGGACCAGGGCCCTGCTGTTCTCATCAGGTGATGGTTCCTCAAGGACCAGGGCCCTGCTGTTCTCATCAGGTGATGGCGCCTCAAGGACCAGGGCCCTCCTGTTCTCATCAGGTGATGGCGCCTCAAGGACCAGGGCCCTCCTGTTTTCATCAGGTGATGGCGCCTCAAGGACCAGGGCCCTGCTGTTCTCGTCAGGTGATGGCTGCTCAAGGACCAGGGCCCTGCTGTTCTCCACAAAAGATCACGACTTGGGGAGTTACTGGATGTCGCGGTGTTGTTCTCTCCCAAGTTATTGCAGATGGTGGTGTCTCTCAAAGCATTCTCATCATGGGAGGAGTCCAAGGAATAATTATGAGGACATGGTGTATGACTGTGTGGTGGGTCTGTGTCATTCGCGACCTGGCTCACCTCACAGGAGATGTATCTTATAATAGGTTCACTCCTGTGCCTCCTGAAGGGGAGGGTGAGAGCACTGGCAGGGCTGGTGTCTATACAGGGCCTCACAAGCTTCCCTATCCGGGAATAAGTAGCACCACAGCTTACTTTGACTATAGTATAGATTTCCTTGGCATCATTACATGTTGTGGATTTTATGGATAGCACAAGTTCCTCAATGGTAAACCCCACAGAGCACTTGGTTTCCACAATGTTGGTTACTGGGATCCTAGGGACATTTTCTCTGGAGCCTGGTGGTATACTTCCACAACGATCCCAAGGCCAGGGGTGCCCCAGCAGCTGGCCTATATCTATCCTATAGCCATGATCCCCAGCAAGCAACATTGCAATGAAATGTTCAATTTTGTTGACACATTTGGTGGAGATGGGTACATGGAGGCTAAGATTGCCCAGTGGAGATCTGCAGGTGTGAGTGCACGATGTGGCATGCACCCAGTGACCACAGAGTAAACAACGAAGCCTAGGCGCCACAGATCCTTTGGCATTCCTTCATAGGCCCTGCCCTCTAACATTTCAGGAGCTAAATAAGGCATTGAGCGACAGGCCTCTTCCCACATCTGCCCTGGTGTCACTCTTGTTGCTAATCAAGAGTCACACCGTTTGGTTTTTCCCATCAGAGTCACTAGGATGTTGTCACGCTTTATACTTAGGTGGACAATGTGTCTTTTGTGGAGGTGCTGCATGACTAATGCCACCCGAGGGACAAAGGGGAGAGCCCTCTGCCCCTCCATGGGGCCAAAATCCTGTAGGATGCTCACAATGTCCCAGCCTTGGACAAATTCCATAACCATGTAGGTCTTTGTTGATGTGACAAAAGTATGAAAACGCTTCACGATGTTTTGATGCTGTGCGGCTTCCGTGATTTCCAACTCAGTTTTGATGCAGCGGTCCACGATTACGCACTTTTTCATGATAACGGGTATTGGTTCGGAGATGACGTGCCAACTTTACTTCCCCAAATGCACCACAGACCGAGTTAATTAAGACCTTGGGTTTATCTCCAAGGAGTTGTATGCCAGAGAGGGTGGACTTGACCTCCACCTTCGTGTCCCTCACCTTCCATGGTTTTGGATTCCACCAAGAGACAACGCTAGATGAAAAGAAAAAGCAGGTCTAAGAACTTTACAACTATCAATTCCTGTATCATAAAATCACAAAGTAATGTAACCACATACTTCAAGGTCACAGAGAAACGAGAGCCACCCACACCCCCAAGGAGATGACAAAACAATGAAGATCAGAGCTGGAGTCAATGAAGTGGGCGCCAAGACACGAACTCGAAGGTCAAATGAAAGAAGAGCTGTTACCTGAAAAGGAAACAACATGGCAAAGCCTCACCCACACAAAACCACTGAGAAGACAGAACTCGGGAGACTAGAGGCAAGAGCAAGTGGTATTCCATGAGATGCCACTTAAATCGCCAGGATCACGGAGGGGGAGAGGGTATTTTGAAGACAGCCTTCGGCGAGCTGGCAAATCTGAAACAAATAGATGCCTTTCTCGATTTGAATGACCAACACAGAAATTGAAATAAACCCCAAGTAAACAAGTTCACTGAAAGAGTAATAAGAAAAACATTTCTCAACAAAAACAGTCCAGGAGAAATAGAGTCTCTGAAAACTCCACTGGATCATTAAAGAATAAACATCAATGCTCCTGAAACTATTTCCTAGAGGGAGAAGGAAAGAACACTTCCAAATTCATTCTCAAAGATTGTATTACCCTGATAGCAACACCAAATAAATATGAACACTTCCAAATTCATTCTAAGACTGTATTACCCTGATAGCAATACCAAATAAATACACAATCAAAGAGAAAACTATAAGCCAAGTTTCTTGTTGAACACAGTGTCAACGACCTTAATGAAATTACTTCATAATGCACACCAAGTCTTGATCAAGGTGGGTTCAGCAGGTGTAGTTGGGTAATTCCACATACGCAAACAGATACCAGCATATAGCAGAATTAAGGGAATACGACCATTACCAGGCAGAAGAGCAGGAAGACGCAGAGGAGGAAGAGGAAGAAGGAAGAAGAATACATTCTGATGCTGTGGCAAGATTCAAATCTGTGTTTCTGACCACATGCTCATGATACTAGCTGATGAAAGAGGCTTGTTTGGGTTTGATGTTCTGGAGGTCCAAGAACATGGTATTGTTAAGGAAAAAGTTATATTCCTATAACTGTGTTCTTTTTTTTGGTGCGTTTGAGACAGGGTCTCCCT